AAGTATACTTTGGCAAATATGCATGTATACCTTTATCAATCTTTTTGACTGTGTGTATTTAATGCAGTGTTAGATTCATTCTCTTAATTTAAATGGATAATTAATAATTGTAAGTATTTATATCAGTTATTATTAGTCAATTAAACCATTAAATAAAGAAGTATGTAATTAGAAAAAGGGGGGCCCCAAATATTCTCATTGCTTAGAGTCTCTCATGTCCTAAATCCTATTGCAAACAGCGGACCAGGTCGTGGGTCCGGTAGTGAGGGACGTTCGTCTTCCGTCGTCGCAGAAAGCGGCGATGACAAGGGAGGATGTTTAGAGGTAACAAAGGAGACACGAGACGTAGGTCCATGAATCTCATTTATGGAAGAGATGGAAGAGCAGCGTTTTGCTGAATCTATGCCATGAGGTTCTAAAAATTTTTTTTTTTTGGAATAAATATGATTATTATCTATTACGAAAGCTCGGATAACCTTCCACTCTTTACCGCCTAATTTTTCCACAACTATTGAACTGCCCCCATCCCCCCATTTACATCATCGGCGTTGCGTTGGAGGTTGCAGTGAAGTGCACAAGCGGTAGCGCTAAAATCAGGTAAATAGGGAGGGTTGATCTTCCCGATACACGATGTTATGAGATTTGAACCACGCATTTTGTGTTTTATAGTCGAGGTACCTATTCAGGTCAGGTCTCAGAATACGCTTTAGAAATAAAGGCGAAAATGTCCGGCAGGCTCCCCTAAACACAGTGAACAGTATTTTTATGAGTCCAAATATGAACTTCAACTTCATGAAGTCGAATTACATTTGAAGTACATATTCTTATACACTGCCTTTTTTTGAGCCCCGAAAAAAACTTTGTCTCAGATCGACCCGGAAAAAACAATTTTCTTATAGAATGTGGCCTGTAGAATCCATAATTTCAAACAGTTCCAAGATTGGGCCACTATTTCAAAAGTTACAGCCCTTTGAATTTTCTTTCGAAATTGGTTTCTAGTCTATAACTTTTGATTCAGAAGTCTAATCGAAAAAGTACGAATTGTTTTGGATTCTACGCACCAAACTTAATAAGAAAAAGTGTTTTTCCGAGAAATTTTTGTGCAGTTGATTTTTGGTAAAAAAGGAAGGTAATAACTGCCTTTTTTTGAGCCCCGAAAAAAATTGTCTCAGATCGCCCCTGAAAAAAAAATTTCTTATAGAATGTGGCCTGTAGAATCCATAATTTCAAACAGTTCCAAGATTGGGCTACTAGTTCAAAAGTTACAGCCCTTTGAATTTTCTTTTGATTGAGAAGTCTGATCGAAAAAGTACGAATTGTTTTGGATTCTACGCTCCAAAATTAATAAGAAAAAGTGTTTTTCATTGTAAAACACTTCAATTCAAACAGAATTTTTTAACAACCTAACATCAACCCCAATTAGAGAAACGTGTTAATAATTTATTAATAGTGCAAGAAACTAAATACAGCACATACTTATAAATTTCCAACGGGCCATTATGATCTACAGGCTAGGTGGCAATCGCCACCCGCCCCTCCGTGCCAGTCCGCCCCTGCATATTTTCAATGTAATTTCTATACATACGATTTTCACAAGTTCAAGTGTTCTGACTACGGCAACTATTGGTAGGTACTAAAGACATGTTTTGATAGCACCTCACGGAGTATTTTAACTAGAATCATCAATTTACTTTCAGAATTTTGCTGTACGTCGATCTAAATCAAAATGACAAAAATTGAATGATCGCAATGTTACTGCAACGTACAGAATAGGTAGTTGACATACACTTCGTTCGGAAATACCTATCAATTATGAAGGGGATGCGCCATTCAAAATAAGCAAAAAACATCCATCGTGGAGAGAAATTGTAGGGAATCTAAATTTAAATCTTACGCTTATCGGAAATATTAAAGCTTTCCTCTTGCAAACTTTTTGTATTGATTTTATAATTATCCTGTAAATACATAAAGCTGAGAAGTTGTAAGGAAACTTCTTTAATTGGTAATTACAGTGTATTGCGCAAACAACCTTTGCCCTTCCCTTACTATTGAAATTTAATGCAATGAAAGGTGAGCTTTTACAAACAGCCATCCACGAAGGTATTCTTGTGCATTCAAAATTAAATACGTTGGCGTTCTATGTATGTACATATGGAAAGTATAATGCACAGCCTCAATTTGGAGAAGCACTTCAATTATTCTTAATATAAAGGATATGTTCGTGTTCGCTCCACATGCTAGGGAGGGAAGATTAAATGAAAAGCGACCAGCACTGGAACGGCATGAAAATGAACAATAGAAGCTTAGATTATTTCTGCATGCCTTGCCCACCGAGACATAAATGGATTTATATGAGATCAAAAGTGAAGACCATTGTGTAAACCAATTTATTTCGTATGTGATTTGACGTTTGTTTAAAACAAATAAAATAAGGAAATGGTAGGTTCGCTAAGTTTTTCAATTCCCCATCATCACAAGATGACGAAGGAATATCGTGACTAATTAATTGCCATTGTATAATTTCACAGCTAATATTATTGGACGGTGATGGTTTTTTTTTGGCATCTTTCCATTTGCTACAAATACTCCCAATGCTACTAAAACAATATAAAGGTAAAAAATAAAAATCTAGGCATCATAGTTCAGCCGTATTGAATATATTTTTAGACGTACGATTCAATTAGTGTTACTAATACAAAATATCACTTTCCCTTCTAAGAAAACGTGCTTAACACGCTTTTCAATGAAATCTTCGTAAGCGAGCTCTAAAAATAAGCACACGTTTATAAGTGGAAATAAATGTGTGAGAAATTCCTCTTCGATTTTATTAGTTGAACCAGATATGCGTGAAATTATTATTATTAGATCAATGAACATTGCAAATATAGATAACAATATGTACTTGCCTATGCATTCGAGAAAGATGCATACCATAACAAAATAAAATATAAATTATATAGATACTAAATAGCAATTAACTCTTCAAGGTGGTACAAATCTTCCACGTTTTGTTTCAAATGGCTGTCGTGTTTCAGTTCTATTTTACATTTTTTAACTTTTCGGATGATAAGACGGCTATGGCGAATGGCTAGAAGTTAAAACTAAAAGAACGTAAAGATTTTCTCTAAAGTACATTTTCGTTTTTTGTTTTTGAAAATATTACTCCAGAATAAAAATGTCGGCAGTACCAGTTGTGTTTCGATTCCCGTATGGAAATCAAGATGGGTAGGTACCATAACAAAATAACTTGCTAAAATTAAATAAGATGATTCGTGACAGAACTTTTTATTATACGCACATGACTCGCTCCTTTTAGTGACAAATCTGAAATCGCCAAGTTTGGCTACAGATTTGGAATATTGTGGAGGTTGCAGAAAGTTCTGCTACAAATCTTGGTTGGTAACAAAGCTTGCATCCGATGGGGATGATTTTCTCATAGTTAGCGTAATTCCATAGTTGAGTTGGATTACAAGTTATACGTACTAAAATTGTTTGTAGCTTTACATCGTGAAAACATCCTCGAATTATAGAGTATATCATTTTTATTCGGGAGTTTTTAGTAAAAACATACTTTCACTATGGGTAACTTTTGAAGTTGTTGGGAATCTTGCACTTTTGTCTCGAATGTCTTTCGTGTTTTAGTTATATTGTATATACGTCGATACATATTTATATCTTTCTTCCTCGTGCGAGGAAAGACAGAAAAATTTTGTGTTTTTGTCTTTTTTTGGTTTTCAAAATCAAGTTCGACACACAGAACAAAAATGCACAAACAGAAACGTTCAGGTGCTTACACGTACCATTCTTGACATTATTCTGTTGTACTTGTAGGTATATTTTTGGTATAATTCAAACCAGTGCTTTCTATTTTGTAATCCAACCACAAATGCAACTACTTCGCAGAATTTATTTTAAAGCGCGTGAAGCAAATAAGAATAGCTTATTTCTGATTTCATACAAAGTACGACCACGTATATTCAAGTATTCCTAATCGTTTTTCAGAAATAAACATAAAAACGATGGCACATAAAGGTAAATCAACAAATAGAAAAAAACAAACTGCCACGCCTATCTCAAAAGATTGTTTAGATTTTAAAAAATTACAAGATGTTCGTCCTACACGTTTTAAACAGTATGTCACTATCCCTCTTCTAATATTTTATTAAATGCAAGTTACAGATACATTTAGTAACGTTAATTGATTTGGCACATCTGTAAATAAATAGGAATATAGGTATAAAGTGTAATGTTGTTACATTAACAGCCCTCAGAGTTAAATCAAGTGTAAAATGCTTAATTTAATTAACGAGTGCACTTAAATATTCACAACTATCAACAGTGAACTTTTAAAATAGGTATAAGTTGTAAAAATGAATGAATATAAGAATATTAGCCCAAATATTGATCAGTTTAAATAACAGGAGGATAAAGGACATTTTAATTATTCGTTAGAAAATAGAAAACGGCAATGATTTCAAAAAGTTGGTGATCACTTCGTTTACGGAAGGGACACAATTTGGGGAGAGAAATTTAAAAACGCGCTATAAAGGATTTATAGTCCTTTGTACACAAACTAGCGATTTCTTTGTGATCAAAGGAAGATGAGATAAAATTCAGCTGAATAGTTAGGCAGGACCTTCAAAGGATATATAGTAACCTACATGCTGCCTATATCGATCGTAGTAGGGCGTGGTATGGTTCTGTGTGATTGCCCTATATATTCAAATCAAATTTGAAAGATGGCCATTGACTTCAACGGAAAAAATAATTTTCATAACAGTAAAAGTGTCCGCTATGAACATGCAGAACAGTGTTAAAAATTGCTTCGACGCAGCATCCAAACTTGGCCAACTCAAAACAAGGTAGGTGTGTGCGAACAACACGCGAGCTACAATTTTTTTAAACAACTTCGGGAAGTTTCAATTGTTAGTTTACGATTGTTAAAATTTTTGCAATTACATTTTGTGGGCGATGTAAAGGGGCAAGGAAACAATTCTTACCGGAGCATACGACAGACTGATCCATAATAAACAATTCTTTGGTTATTTCTGTGAGAAGTTAAAGCACAGTCGATCTCCATAGCTGAATCACTGACATTACAATAGACACAATATTAGAATGTTACAAATATAGGCGATCGCTAAATCACTTTTACATTTTTACTTTAGCGTAATATATTTTAAAGCCTCACCCCGCATTATATTTTGCGAGTTCGGCGGCTAACAAACTCGACGGTGCGACAACGAGCGTCTCGGCGCTCATTTCAGTGCGCCCTCGCCCGATTTCAGTTAGAAGTAGGTTCGGACGTCGTCGTCGTTCTGAACTGCAGAATTAGATTTTATTTTCCATTCTAACTGCTCGTCGCCGTACAACTTAAACCAAACATCCGTTTTACGTCTTATATTGAGCTGACACTGTCTAGCTTTTACTAAAAATAAATCACCACAAAATATCTATTACTTGCTTTATAAAATCGCTTCCGACGAAAGGATATTTCTTAATTAATAGGCGGTAAACTATAACTTTGAGATTAAATCACAGCAGTAGTTGAACTTACCAGTATCGATAAAGTATCATATTGTCCCAAAAAAAGCAACTTCCCTCACAAACTTATTTTAAATTTAAAAAGTCTACAAAATATTTCATTTAAACGGATTAGTTAATAGCGAAACGTTTATAACGTGCGATTCAGATGCGCGTTACGTATACTCTCGACAGAAACAGAAAATGACCTGCTATAACGAGCAGAGACTAAAATATACATGGAAGGTTCCACTAGGAACAGGGAATATGTAATACATACGAAAATGTTCAGCTCCTTTCAAAATTTTGACAGCTGTTCACGGCGCTGTATGTGTTGTCTACCATAAAGCAACTTAAAACGAACAATTTCGACCGCAAACCAAGAGAAAAATGGGATAAAAAATTCCGGCCGAAATTTATTGAGATATTTTGACGTAGCATAGAAACAATTAAGTATAGGTAAAAGTATTGAGAAGAAAAAAGAACAAGGAAACTATAACAACTTAGCTCACAAATAGAAAACTAAGTGTACCTATACTCAAAACTTTGTACGAGATGAAACTAAAATCAATAAAGTAATTTAAAATTTGAAAACAATGGAACGTGTTTGAATATGTTGGCTGGACCGCGCCGACATCACATACGTTGTCGCCTCGGTTCAATCATTTGGAAAACGCTTGTAATGGGAATAACAATAAATTTTAATTGATTAGAGCAAAAAGTATATCCCTTGGTCTGACCAGCAGTAATTTTACCTGCAATGCTAACGTAATACTCATGAATTCGATATTCAATCTAGATTTCAGCATTGTAACACGTTGTATGAAGATGCTGTGATAAATGTAAACGCAGCAGCATACATCAGTTTTAATTTTATTTTGGCCCCTTTTACTCGTACTATCTCTGACTGTAAATCCCTGTTCTCGTTATGCCTAAAAGTACGAACCCCATTCCCAAGTGATAATTTTTTGAGCTTTTTTCAACCCATTCTTCTATTGCTCCGCCGCCATCACCACAGTAACGCTGATGGTCTGTGGTAAGGCTGATACCTCCACGGTGATGCCTATCGAATGAAACTTTTCGGAGCATTCTGCAAGGTGTCCAGAAAGGGCGGGGGGTATTTGTAGCGTTGTTATGGAAGGACGCGTACTCTTTGGAGATTTAGTACCAATGGAAGCGTACCCGAGAGATCATCGTGCTTTTTGCATACGCGCCTATTACCGTAATGGTCTCAGTGCGTCAAAAAACAGAACTGCCACTACTGGGCTAACGAAAATCCAAGAAAGAAACATGAACGACCACCACATAGTCCAAAAGTTATTATGTGGGCATGTTTTTTGAAGACGGCTAATTTCCGTTTTCCATTAGAAGAGTGCCAGAGGCACGAAGGTCATCATTTGGAAAACACAATCTCTGCCACATAATTTTCCAAAGCTTTATTTATACAAAGATTCCGACTTCTTTTTTAAATTGAATTTACAAAAACTCCCTACCCTTTCTGAACACTCGTTACAACATCCCTGTGTGTTTCCTTAACCTAAAATCTGCATATAGAAGGCTACTATCGGTATCTAACAATGCATCAGGGCTTAGTTTCATATAGCCATTCTTACAGATGTATGTTTTATATCTTCAAATTTCATCGATGCAATAAATAATAAGTAAATATAACTTATGATACACCAAGTACAATATTGATGGTAATCTCCAGTGTGTAAGTCAATTTGGCTTAATGTACATTTGAACGGGAAATTATAGATACCACTGGAAATCGCCGTAAATCAATTAGTACCAAAGACTGGCGCAGTATGTGTGTACTTAATCTGGCTTTTTTTGCATACATCTTAATAGAACAGGCGAAGTGTCCTTTCGTTCATCGCCTTTTTTGTGTTATCTTTTGACAACGACAACTGCTCTCGACTTTCATATGAAAGAAAAACGTAAGCCTGCGTGATGTAAAGTACCTATAGCTGATATTTGTTTGCGCCGAGTCTCGAACTCATAATTTATTGAAATAGGTATATATTAATTGCTCGTGAAAGAATGACCATTTTAAGAGTGCCAAATAGACACCCTTTTAATTTGAACATACACCATTATATACCTATTATATTTGAATAGACCGGTAGCAAGCTATTTTTGTCAATAAATTGCTCAATGGCTTATTCAGTAGTTCTAACATCTTTATGAAATTGTATTTCGTGTACGTAAAATCAAACTCACGATCAGGGAGAAAGCAAACATTTATCCAGGATATCATATCATTTCACGAGCTACTGCAGATTGAGCACCGAGTCAACTATATAAATGAGCAAGAGGGGTTGAATTTATTTTAAACGTCCCATTGTTAATTTAAAATTAGCAAAAGGTATACATATTAGAGTATCTCCTTTCATTTTGGAATACTCCCATTTGAAAACACGTGACTATTTCTCAGTACTATGCGACACTCTACCGTATAAGGGTAGAGATAGGATTGCTCCAAGAGGTAGTGATTGTGATATAATAAAACATCCTTTTTTCCTGAAAACAGGCGGAACAAAAATTGCGTTGAATTTTAAGAAATTCAATTAGACCGGAGGCAAATTTAATTTTCAATTTCCAATAACGTATCTACTGCTTACTAACTTCGTTAACACCATTTTATGTAATTATAGCCGATCTGTAATTCCGCTACTCATTCAATTACTTTTTTCCATTTTTAATTCGGAACTTGAAATGTACATGTTTTACATTTAAATGCTTGCCTTTATTTCGAAACACAAAACCTTCAACACGTTTGCAACACGAAATATTTTTTTATTTTCCTTCATCCTTCCATACCTAACAAAACCCGAATTCTAAACAATTTCACTCATTTTCTCAATTCCATCATCCAAATGTTAAAATTAAAAGCTCTGTTTATAAAACTTATGGTATATGGTTTTGTTAATAAAATCCAGTTGTATGGAACTTCTTAAAACCTACTTCTGTTTATTCTCACCTTAGAAAATGCTTTTTTTGCGAAACATTAACCACTTCTATGGACATTTGAAGTACCTGTCGAAACATCAAATAATAGGTCACTATACCGTGCACAAAATTCTTCCTTAAGAAATTAGTTTACCGTCCCAATTTTTTCTAAACCTTTGTTTGGTAATAGATAAGTATGTTGTCTGTGGTAATAGTTGCGATGGCATTCTCGCTAGCAACATTGTTCAAGAGAATAACATGCATTTTTCCAAAATAGTGCTATTTCAACTGTCATCAATCGAATGCGTTGACAGCTTTATCGTGATCAGCTAGGGAGGCGTCTTTTTTAAACTTTCGTTATTATTACACGCTTAGGTATATACTGAAAGGCGGTATTAAATTGCCAAAAAAACGCCACATTTTTTTGGGAAAACATATGCATTATCATCCATTAAGTGTAAAAATTTCTGAAAGTAATGAAATTCTCACAGCTTATGCAGCTCAATAGCCTTCTATTTTTCATTTTAATCTTTGCTTTACGCTATAGACAATAAACTGCTACAGTTTGTGGGTCACATGTAGATATAAACTTGATAACTTCAAATATAGATGGTGGGTACCGCAGTAGACAAATCGATAAATCGTGAGCAAAAACCATAAATACGGATATCTCTTTCGTAAAAACGCAGCTATCGATTTTAAAAGTTTTAATAAAGTTCTCTGTATTTTCTTTATGATGAGAAAGCACATCATAGTTTACTTGGCGGTAATGACAACAGGCTCTGCCAATAGGTGTTTTCAAGCATACGTACCTATACTTCCAATTTTCTACCCTACCCTGCCAGGCCCTATGACAATGACCCTATACAAGACACGAAACACTTATTGCTGCGTCCCCATACATATGAATTTACCTTTTTTCCTTATTTTAATCATTCCCACCGCAGAATACCTTTTAGTTTGAAGGTAACTGTATAATTATGAAACGCGCCCGTCGACTCAAATAGGACTGTTTCCATTGCCAGAGGAAGAATCAGTCTGTGTACGGAACATTTTCCATTTTCTTCTTCAAAAGTATGTTCCATATATGAATTTATCTGTTACTTCCAGGAGGGACTTTACTCTGTTTAAATTATTTTCCCTAGGGGCCGTCGAATAATCTTGTGATGTTTTTCAGCAACTTTGTAACCCCCCCCCCCTGGTGATGCGTGGTGCGGTTAAGACTTAGCCCCCACCTCTACCCAAAATCACGTGTATTTCTTTATTACAAACCTTTTCAGAATGTACCTTATAAATAATCTAATTTCATTCTGGAAAGGATCGTGATAGAAATGTCCACACACATTAAGGTTGCTGGTTTAAAAATCGCGTGTTTTAGCAAAAAATAAATACACATGATTGTCTGACTACACCCCTCTCCCTCTTGTGATATTTCATGATTTTTACTTTACTTAACTTTGTCTTAAAGTTTTTAGTCTGAAAAACCATTACTACGAGGCGTCTTTTACAAACTCTCAACTCGATAAGATCTTCCTGCAAAAGATTTGCGTGAGGAACAAACGGTCTAACAATAGTTACTTCTCCTTCTCCAATTTTTTGCGTAAACATTATAAACATAAGAAGCCACCCCTTAAATTAATTATGTTTTTTTAATGTGGTTCAGTGCAAGAGACGGAAATTCGCAAAATACATTTCTATTTCTCACGATGAGTAAACATACAAAGTATCGGGTTGGAAATATTTACTTGTGAAGTGCATGATATGGCACTATATGGTAGCTATCTATCAAATAAT